AATTGCTTTCACGTATTTGTCACATTAAGAGTAATTAAACTAAAAAGAAGAGAGGCCGAGTGAAACTAGAGCTAAGCATACTATACTGTTTTGTCTCTATCAAGTTCTCCATTCACCACATTTTCTACCTCAAAATGAACCAAAAATTTTAGGGTAGCCACGTGGTGGCGTTCTAAGAGGTATGTCAACCTCCATTTATTAAGTTGTAGAGGGATATAAGTAGGCAATCATAAAAAATAAAAAATATAAAAATGAACAATCATTAAAAAAAAATATATCTATTTTTGTAAAAGAATATTGCTTTTAAATAAAAGCAATTTTTTTTAATAAACAAATATATATATAAACATTTAATAAAACATTTAACAAAACTTATTTTAATTTCCTTCCAAAAGAAGTTACATTTTTTCAATTAATTCTCATTAATCTGCTAAAACCGTTACATCTTAATATAATATAAATATTTTTATTATTTATTTTTTGGATTAATTACTTAATTAATTCTAAATTTGGTAGCAAAATATTCAAATGTGTAACGGCTAATGTTGGAACTTAAAGTTGATTGACACATTCAGAGCTGTAACCGCTATATTTGGTTGCATTGTTGGAAGAAAAATATGATTGACACATATTTTTTTTTCTAAAAATCAAGAAACACCAATAATTTTTTTTATTTTTTTTATTTATGTTAATTTTCTTAATACATGCCACAAATATATAAATTAGTTTATTCATGTTACTAATGTAAACGTTGCATGGTTAAAATAAAATTTAAATCTCAATTAATTTTGAATGTTAAAAATAACTTAAGAAAAATTTATAATTTTTATATGATAGAAGTACATGTCTAATTAATAAATACAAACAAAAACGTATTTTATATCTGTACAAATGCACAGGATCAAATACTAATTCGTAATAAAAGATTAGTTTTCTCTTCATTTTTGTAATACCATCCAAATTCACTTATGGGGTGAATACAAATGTTAAGACAGACAACAAATTTCCACTTCTTTTAACTTAAACAACTATTAAAAGCTTTATATCCTTTTTTTTTTTTTCTGTGTATAATATTTAATGTCTTTTGAATTATTAAATAATGTGATTTATTAATCACAAAATTTTATAACATGTTGTCCACATCTCTCACCGTTAAATTTCAAAATTATTCTTTATTATATCATTCATTTCTCAAGTTAATGAAAAAGGTTTGAATTACATAAAGAGTGATAAGTATTTTAGAAAATCCAAATTTCTTTTAGACTGTTTAACAAAATGTCTTAAAACCTAATGTCTGCAGCCGAGATTCCGCCTGCTCCCCGCTTTGCCCTTTCCGATGGCCGGACCACTTTTGATCCCGGTGACAATCCCCGCCCTCTGATGAACTCTGCAGAATTCCCGTCACTGGACCGATCTACCCTTCAAGCACCGAAGCGAACTAAAACCCTAAAGCGGGCTGGTGAACCATTGGTTAACCCTCTCCAACCGGAATCCCTGAATCGTATATCATCGCCCACCGAAACCCCAAATCCAGTCCCCCCCAAAATGACTTTCCGTGACATGGTCAATAAGAACCGTCCTCATATCGCAGTTCACTATGACGAAGAGGAAGAGGCTAAGGATGATGATGAGGATGTGGTTGTGGACCTTTCATGCCCTATACCAGCAGTTCGGACCACTGAGAGTTACATTACTCATCTCGATAATGAATGGAAGCATGTGGTAGCGGTTAAACCGTTTGATGATTCCCTTACCATGGCATCCCTGTATAATCGTCTCACCAAGATGTGGCCGTGCATGGTGGGGTGCTCTATGATGGACCTTGAAAACGGGTTCTACCTGATCCACTTCCGTACTATTGATGATGCGGTCCAAGTTACAACTGGCGGCCCTTATGTAGTGGGGAGTAGCTACATGCACGTCCAACCTTGGACTCCTGATTTTGATGCCCTAAATGAGGAGCTTACTTCGACAGTGGCCTGGATTAGACTGCCGGGGATGCCGGCACATCTATACCATCCAAAAGTATTTCGGAAGATTGGACTCATTGTAGGCAAGGTGGTCAAAATCGACCATCAAACCGCATCTCTTACACGGGGAAAATATGCTCGCTTGGCCGTACTGGTGGACCTAACAAAACCCTTGCGTGTTCAGTTTACCCTTAATGGGAGGATGCAACGAGTGATTTATGAGAGTTTACCCACAATATGTTTCAAATGTGGTAGGATAGGCCATTCGAGCCATGGGTGTTTGTATACCACTACTCCCACACCAGCAGTAAGCCAACCGGCGGGCCACCAAGATGCCGTGGAGAAGGATAACGGGGACTCAAGCGGATCTGGGCAAAAGGTCCCTCTAGACGTGGAGCCGATTTATGGTCCGTGGATACAAGTGCCACAACGAGCACGTCGACCGTCTGCTCAAGGATCGAGCAAACAACACAAGAAGCATAGCCCGACCAATGCGGAGAACCACGGCACAGGCTCTAGATTTAGCATATTTGGTAATGAGGTGTTAGATGAAGGTAATACTGGATTCACATTTGGAGGCCCGTCGGTGACCCAACCCGCCAGAAGTGCTGGGGCTCGCGGGGAGAAGGAATGGCGCACAGTCCCAGGTCGCCGGAGGAACACCGGCAAGTCAGTTGCGGGGGACTTGAATGCGGGTTCTGATCTGGTAAGGGGAGCTGCGACGGGACAAAAGGGAATCACGATCCAGCCACGACACCACAAGCCTTCGTCCTCGAGTAACCCCAACCCGATTCATTTTGATGACATTAACCAGACCTTACCCACTACGGGCGATCAGGATACGCGCCCTCCACGTGTCTGGAATGTCTCTATTGGGGCTGGGTTGGACAAAACACGACATCGGGCCGTCAAGTTAGCGGACCATCCACCTAATCCTCATGAGGAGGAAACCATCATGCACGATGGTGAGCAAAATTTACGGCGACAGGAACCATGGCCAGAAGATGGCTCTCTACGAGACAATGAGATCGAGGCTGATGATGATCATATGGGGGTGGATGAGGGTCCGGACATGCTTGTCCGCCCTATCGAGTCCTAGCACCTGATCCTTTTAACACCCTTTGCACTTATCCATGAATATTATTACTTGGAACGTTCAGGGGGCAGGCTCGCCTGATTTTCGGGGAGTATTTGCCACTCTTAGACATCAATACAAGCCTGATATTGTTGCATTGCTTGAACCGCGCATTGGCGGGAAGAAGGCAGATAAGTTTGTTCGAAGTAGTCAGTTTGACAACTCCTTCCGAGTGGAGGCTCATGGGTTCTCGGGTGGCATATGGCTCTTATGGACTGATGAGGTCCGCATTGACGTTCTATCTTTTACCCGCCAATTCATTCACGTTAAGGCCCGTAAGGCTGACGACGAGTGTCTGATTACCTTCGTATATGCTAGCCCACAAGTAGCGGGTCGTGGCACGTTGTGGGCGGATCTGAGCCGGCTAGCGGATGGCATCTCGGGCCCGTGGGTGATCGGGGGGGACTTTAACTGTCTCCTTCGTCGTTCTGAGAAGATTGGTGGTTCCATGCGATTTTGTAACATCAGTCAGGGATTTGCGGAGTGGCTCTTTAACTATAGCCTTCAAGAGGTGGCTACTGATGGTCATTTATTCACTTGGGTGCAGGAATCCCGTCATGGCAGGCTAGCTGAAAGACTGGACAGATTTGTGGCTAATGTTCAGTGGATGGAGAAATATGACACTAGTCGGGTTCGTCTATTGCCAAGATTACTATCTGACCACTCTCCTCTTCAAGTTACCTTTGGACGTTATACTACACCGTCTAATGGGATTAAACCTTTTAGATTTTTGGCCTCTTGGCTTCTCCACCCGGGGTTTTCCGATTTACTTCAGCAGTCTTGGGGCACATCTACTAACTTTGAAGAGGCCGCGGACAAGTTCATTACTCAGGCCAAGCAGTGGAATACCATAGTCTTTGGTAATATTTTTCGTCGAAAGAAGTGCTTATTAGCTCGCCTCCGCGGTATCCAGCGATGTCACCGTTTCTACTTCACGAGTCGCCTGGTGAATCTCGAAGCCCAACTTCGTACGGAGTTAGCAGAGGTAATCCGACAAGAAGAGATTCTGATGATTCAGAAGTCCACGAGGGACTGGAGCTTTTTGGGGGACCGAAATACCTCTTATTATCACCGCCAGGTCAAACATCGTCGCCGGAGAGGCAGGATCACCGAGTTGATAGATGATAATGGTGTCAGAATTACCGACCAGGCCACTTTGCAAACCATGGCGAAAGATTATTTCAAGGACATTTATACAGAAAGGGTCGCACATGGGTCTAGTAGCTCGGGGGACCCACCACTACGCGCTTGTGAGATTCCTGAATTTCGGGATATGTCGGCAAGTATTTCGTCTGAGGAGATTGGGAGTGCGCTAAAGAGCATGGGTCCTCTTAAGGCCCCAGGTTTGGATGGATTGAATGCACTCTTTTATCAAAAGAATTGGGATATTGTTGGTCCTGCTGTCTGCGCCTTCATCAGGCAGTTATGGACTCGTGGTGAAGTTCCAGCCTGGGTGAACCGTACTTTGCTTGTTCTAATTCCTAAAGTGGAGAATGTGACATCAATAAAACAATTCCGACCCATCAGTCTGCTTAATGTGGTTTATAAGATATTTACTAAAGTTCTGGTCAACCGCATGAAGAACACCTTACCTGGCCTAGTCCATCCGGCCCAAACCAGCTTTATTCCGGGCCGACATATTACTGACAACATCATCGTGGCGCAAGAGCTTATTCACGTAATGCGGGGGAAGAGAGGTAAGCACGGGTTCATGGTGGTGAAGGTTGACCTTGAGAAGGCCTATGATTACCTTCGTTGGAGTTTTGTCGAGGAAACACTTTGCCTCGCCGGCTACCCTGCGAAATTTGTGACCGCCGTCATGGCGTGTGTTTCCTCAGCGTCGATGAGTTTGCTGTGGAATGGTTGTATTGGTGACGAGTTCACGCCTACTCGAGGAGTGCGTCAAGGGGACCCCATCTCCCCTTATCTTTTTGTTCTATGTATGAATAGACTGGCACAACTGATATGCGCGTCAGTCGAGGCACATGAGTGGAGACCAATCTCCGTCGGGAGAGGGGCGGTCCAGGTCCCGTTTTTAATGTTCGCTGATGATTTGCTATTATTTACAGAGGCATCTGATGACCAAGCCGTAGCCCTTACACGGATTCTTTGTCAGTTTAGCTCTATGTCCGGCCTGAAGGTTAGTGCTGCAAAGACTCGTGTGTTCTTTTCCACTAATGTCCCGCATCAGGAGCAAATTCGCCTTGCCGCGGCCCTTAATTTCACTCTGACGGATAATTTAGGTAAATACCTGGGGGTCCCGGTTCTCCACAACCGTGTTACCCGGGCTACCTACAGTCATCTCGTGGACCGGGTGGAGTCGAGACTTTATGGCTGGCGTATGGGTTCTCTATCGTTAGCCGGAAGGGTGACTCTCACACAATCCGTCTTGACCACTTTGCCTTTTTATACAATGCAGACAGCCCTCCTCCCGAACGTGACCACAGCTGGTCTAGAGAAGCAGTCCAGAGCCTTTGTATGGGGGGGTACGTGTGACCGTAAGAGGGTCCATTTGGTCGCTTGGAGTGATATATGTAAACCTCGTGACGAGGGTGGGTTAGGCATTAAAGACCTTCGGCGGATGAACAAGGCACTGCTTATGAAGCTTGGTTGGGGCTTGCTGACGAACCCCGAAGCCCTATGGGTACGTGTGCTCAAGGCCAAATATGGTTTGGATTTCTCGGGGGGGCTCCATGCTATAAGGTGGAAGAATGGGTCGTCCTTAATTCGAGCCATCCGGTCGGTGTGGCCGCAGGTTCTCCTCGGCTTACGGTGGAAAATTGGCAATGGTGAATCAACGAGATTCTGGCTTGACCCATGGCTTGGCTCGGTGGGTCCGCTTATTGAGCAGGTCCTTAATCCTCAACTGGTCCAGGGCATTAACTCGAAGGTGGCTGATTGGGTGGATGGCCGGGGGAGATGGGCCTGGGACAGATTTCACGGCGCTCTTCCTTCTTCAATAATACTTCGCATGGCGGAACTGCCACCTCCGACTCCAGATGCAGGGGATGATCGGCTTTTTTGGGGCCTCTCCGGGGACGGCCGCTTCACTACTCGATCGGCTTACCGATTGGTCTCCTCCTCCGACCGGGAAATGGATACCAAACTGTGGAGAATTATTTGGCGAACCTCAGCGTCTCAGCGAGTCCGGACGTTTTTATGGCTTGCGGCTAGGCAACGTCTCCTGACGAATTCCGAACGTGTGAGACGCCACTTAGCGACTTCGGGGAACTGCGCTGTTTGTGGACACGAGGAGACGGTGTTACATGTTCTACGTGACTGCTCAGTGGCCTCTGCACTTTGGACGCGCCTAATTCCTGCGGCTCAGGTGCGTGCATTCTTCGAACCCGATTTATTGACTTGGCTCCGCCGTCAACTTCTGCTACAGAGGCTGGGTGATTGGGATAATTGGAGTAGCCTGTTTGCGGTGGTGTTATGGCGGTTATGGAAATGGCGGAACGAGAGTATTTTTTCTACGACAACCTTATGCGTTGATGACATGTACCGGACGGTGCTGTGGGACGTGGAGGCATACATGCGGGCTGCTGATGCCTATCGACATGTCGGAGTTTCTGATTTTAGGATGGGCCTGATCCGATGGGATGCTCCAGCGACGAGTTGGGTGAAATTAAATACGGATGGTGCTTCGAATAACTACACGGGATGGAGCCGGGCCGGCGGGCTTCTTCGCGATGGCGAGGGACAGTGGCTTGGCGGTTTTGTTCTGAATATTGGCCGAGCAACGACCAGGGAAGCCGAGTGCTGGGGGCTATTCCATGGATTGATGATGGCTTGGGACCTTGGCTATCGGCAAGTCGAGGCGGAAATTGATAATCAAGAAGTTATGAATGTGGTGTCCGAAGTGGCCTATGGGCATGCCCATCACGATGACGTTCTCGTTCGGGCAATTTGCGAACTCCTTAAACGGGATTGGTCAGTTAAACTCGCTCACATTCACCGGGAAGCCAACTTTGCAGCGGACCACATGGCGCGTGTGGCGGTTTCCTATCCGATCGGACTCCAGAGGTTGTCCTCCCCGCCGTTAGGTTTAGACATTTGGCTTGAACATGATAACTTAGGGGTCTCGTACCCTCGTCAGGTGCTACATTAAAGACTAAGGTCTCTTCTATTGTACCAAAAAAAAAAAATATATTTTATACAAATAATGAACGCATTTGACAATATATTTTTTTTTGTTATTAATAAATATATATAATTAAAAATATAAATTAAATTAGTTGAAAATAATTATAGCAGAAATTAAAAACCATTTTAAAAATAATATAAAATTATCAATTGTAGCATATAAAACTATAAAATCAATACTCCAAACACCTAAATAAGTAAAAGTATATTCAATACAAATAAAATAAAAAGATCGATGACTTTTGTACACCGCATTACTTATGAATTGTTACACAATGTAGTGTTGAACTTACAACGGGAACCTATAAACTGACTGAAGTGTTCAGTTC